TGTTATATTYAATTAAAGAAAAATTGTTATAATTACAAGGATCTAAAAATGTAATATAACCTTTTAATCGAAATTATGATTGAGATTGACCATTGTTATTTTTCGCGCATTGCATTTGTTTTAGGTACGATATTTTTTGTAGAAATAATTGAATGTCAATATAGAACACTATAGGGTGAATAACTTTCAATTAAAACATATATTTTTACGAAATCTTAAAGTAACATTTACCTATTTTGTAATATGGATGCGCAAGTTATATCTATAAATCTACTTCTCAACTTATCTGGAAGATATCGAGATATAAATAAATATTGATTATAAATTCCGTGTTTTCAGCTGACGTGTACATAATTACCGGCATGATGGTGGAATTAATAATCAAGAAATTGACAGYTATTTAATTAATAAATGCAAATAAATAATAGACTGATAGACAATGATTATAATAGGAATATTGGTTGTAGAAACTTTAATGAATAAATTATTAGTTGCATCATATAATATATATGTGTATGAAAATTGAAAATATATAATAAAAATCGTATCATAGCATGTAAAAAGTTGAACATTGAAAATACTCYGTTTATCTATTTCAATAATTATTATTCCACAAAATAACCTTATGATGAGTTATAATACTTAACAGCCAGTAATTGGCGTGTAATATTTCAAATCCTATACTTATAGAAAAATCGTACATCGAAGGTTATGATATCGTAACTACAGTATACGAGTAGGTACCTACCTCTATTTTCTTTCAACTGCTGTTTCCTGTTAACTTTTCAACCATAAACTATATTATTACTAACTATAAAAATAATAGATAACTTTTGTTAGTTCTAATTTGTTCATATTAAATGTATGTACAAATTTTAGTAGTGTGAAACTATTAAGTAATATGTAGTTTTATCATTGTATCAAAATAGTATAATGCAGAGATTACCAACTAGGGAGCTAAGAATTTGAATTGAGGGGAATTTGAAATTATTCAAAATATAAAATAATCATTTTTTTCAAAATGKTCCACTATAAAAGTAGCATGTGCGTGTTTTTTGTAATATTCTAATATCGTAATAAAAATTAAAAACGACTGGCACCTTCACTTTGGGTTCGGTATAATGGTCGACTGTGTTGGGGCTATCGTGTTGAATGGGCGAGAATGGCACACGGATTTCCGTTTCAAGGGTATTATCACCATAATATATAGCACCGTTTCATTAGTCGACTTGGAACTTAATAGTTCGCACATCTGGTAGCCTTGTCCAAATCGATATGTTATAATGTAGATAACTAAAAACGTTATCATGCTAAATGATGGGTGTCTAAGTTTAGCCGAGTTCCCTTTACCACTGAATCCTTTATTGGAGAAATTTCCTTATGCCTATATAAACAGTTCAAAATATTTTTAAAAATTTTGGTGTATAAAAAATACTATGAAATTTAAGTATACACATTCGATGAAAATGTCATGTATATTTACAGTTGTTGTTTTAAAGTTACATCAAAAACAAAATTGATTTTGTTGAAATCATGGTTTCCGTATAAAAATCTCCGTTTTTTCTTATTTTTGTTCCCGACGCTTTTGAACACTTTTTTGAAAATTGCTACATATACCAAAGTACCATCATCATCAACCATATATTCAATTTTCTACCAGAGAATATGCTGAAGTAGAAAATCGAAGTATTTTTACTGTTTTAAAAAGTGATAGCAGACACAAAATAATAAAAATGCACATCGTTGAAAATTAATATATTCATCGCACTCAGAATCTAAAACTGAAAAGATACAAAAATATAGAAGTAGGTACCTATAATTTGTTTACTGTTATTTWAAAAAAAAAAATTAAAATAAGGTTTTTAAAACTATAATTATTAGGTACTAGTATTTATATATAAGTAGATGTTGACGTTTGAGTAGCTGCAGGTTTCTTGAATAAAAAATCTGTTGAGAAAAATATTGGTAAATAATTGTTATACCTAACAGTTATCGTTATCTATATGTATTATAATCTTAATTAAAAGTAGAATAGTATTGTTAAGAAATTCAATATTTGATTGTATTATAGTATAAAATTATTAGTATTACTATTATTTGATTTCAGAAATCACAAGAGTTGTACACACAGTAAAAAGACCAGTGTTGTAAAATGATCAACATAAAATAATATGTCTAATATGATTAACAATAAACAAATGCAAAGGGTAAATAATATAATTTTTTTCATTCTACTTAATATTTACGTTTTATAATATAATATTTATTTGGCTAGGAGCCACGTGTGAAGCATAAAATATTGTTTGAATTAAAAAAATAAGTAAGATTTTGGGAAACCAGTAGCATATAATACGCAATAATTAAGTATTATAAAGTTTTACTTGGCAAATTTTGTGACCCTTCGTTCGAACGCTCCGATTCGTAAATCGTTGCCAACGAAATCTGTTATCTGTACAATTTTAAATATTGATAGTATTTAGTATTATAGTGGTTAGTATGCAACTGCAAACCCGCCAGCCGGTATCAGAGATAATGAGGGAAATGCTTACCTTTGCACACAACTTTTGAGTTTAGTCATGGCACTGCACAAGTCTTATATAAAAATATATCTTGTAAACATCACAGTTATTTAGTTTATTCTTTGATAATATTAAATAATTAAATTCATCGCAGATGCATGATGGCCAAAAATATACCATTAAAAAAAATAATTTCTTCAAAATGACATAACTCCGCCCTCCCCCTTCCTACAGCAAAAAATAAATAAATAATTTGCTGACTTAGATTCAAATTTCAAATTAGTAAAGTATACTTTTCCATAATAATATAGTGATTTTAGAATGTTTTATTGTTTAATTTACAAATGAGAAAAATACATTTGCTATGTAGGTAGTAGGTACCTACTTACATTATTGACTTATTGACTATTGTTATCAACACAATAAATCAATTATAGTTCATATTATGCTCTTTATATAGACTAATTATATGAATTTCATGTTCAATTAATTAATTTTCGAATAGAAAGATTGTAATATATACTATATAACTCGAGAATCTGAAAAAAGACAAATTGAGAAATATGTTATAGATATAATAATAGTACTCCTAAAAATGTCATCTTCAATCTCCGTCAAAATTAACAGTCCGTATATACTTAAACGAAACAACATAAATATGATGTTATTTTATACCTAAAAGTTTAAGCAAATCGCATTTCAAAACAAAACAAAAATCAAATTTAAAAAAAATATACCTTAAAGGTCTCATATGTAGAAAAATATTTTAAAAAGATACAGTGTAAAAATCTGATATTGACACTTTTTTGTCGTTTTTCATACATTATACCGCAAGTGTGACATTTACTGACACTGACGCCTGACATAAGAAATTTTTCGGAAAATCAC